CTCCTTGTGGGAATATGAAAGGAGGGGGAATCCTACTTGGAGTAGGACTCCCCCCCTTGGGCGCGCCACACCTTGGCCGGCCTCCTCCTCCCTCCCCCTTTATATACGTGGGAGGGGGCACCCCAAAGACACACCAAAGTTTCTCTTAGCCGTGTGCGGTGCCCCCTCCATAGTTACACACCTTGGTCATATCGTCGTAGTGCTTAGGCGAAGCCCTGCGCCGGTGAATTTCATCGTCTCCATCACCACGCCGTCGTGCTGACGAAACTCTCCCTCGGCCTCAACTGGATCAAGATTTCGAGGGACGTCACCGAGTTGAACGTGTGCAGATCACGGAGGTGCCGTACGTTCGGTACTTGGATCGGTTGGATCGCGAAGACGTTCGACTACATGAACCGCGTTACTAAACGCTTCCGCTTTCGGTCTATGAGGGTACGTGGACACACTCTCCCCGCTCGTTGCTATGCTTCTACTAGATAGATCTTGCGTGATCGTAGGCAAAATTTTGAAATACTACGTTCCCCAACACGGAGAGCTAAAGTGCTCCTGCCCAGGTTCCGCCTCGAGACGGCGGCGCTTCGATCCAAAAATCCTCTCTTGATTTTTTCTAGGTCAAAACTCTTCATATAGCAGAAGATGGGGGCCGAAGGCCTACTAAGGGCCCCACAAGGCATCAGGGCGCGCCCAGGGGGTGGTCGCGCCTTGTTGCCTCGTGGCAACTGGTGGGCCCCCTCTGGTACTTCTTTGCTCTAGTATTTTTATATATACCATAAAAATTCTTCGTGAAATTTCAGTTTATTTTGAGTTGTGCGGAATAGGTATATCTGATGTAGCTTTTTCAGGTTCAGAATTCCAGCTGTCGGCAATCTCCCTCTCCATATAAATATTGCAAATTAAGAGAGAAAAGACATTAAAATTGCATCACAAAGTGTTATAATGATCAAAAACATTATAAATAGCAATAAGAAAACATGATGCAAAATTGACGTATCACGGCTTCAGAGGGGTGGATCTTTTGATGGCCTATCTCTCCTGATTATGGATGTTGAAGGACAATGCATGTTGGTAACTGGATGTTGCCAATATCTTGACCACTAAGATAGTCTGTTGGCAACTGTCATCTTTATAAAACAATCCTGTGTTTTTTTTGGCCGTGTTTCTATCAAGTACAAATATTGTAATTTGGAAAATGGACCCTTGTAATGTTCAATGTCAACATGCGGTCTGTCATCTTAGATTGAGGTGGACTTCAGGTTAAGTCCGATCAAAAGATGATATCCCTTTTGCAAATATGATGTCTGGCTACATACACAAAACAATCTTGATGTGTACACCAACGGTCAAGATATTGGCAACACTTAGACAAGGTACATATTCGAGTTCTCGATAATCTTGCACATGGTCGTGAGCAGACATTAGTCAGGGCCATGTACTTACTATTTCCTTCTTATTGGTTTTCTGTTTCTTGCGTAGGTCACATACATAATTGTATTCTTGTTGATCAATCGGCGCATAGCCTATATTTTGCATAAGTTGTGCATTTAGTACTTTGAAGGAAATAAATTGGTTGAGGGAAAATTATAGAGATGAGGGGCATATGGAGAAATAAGAAAATGATTAAGATCACGCTAAATAAATTATGGTAACTGGAATGCATTTCAAAATCCAAAACGTTTGATCTAAAGAGCTCTCATAAGAAAATAAAATCCTAAATAGTAGAATGTTCAAACTTCTTTGAGAAATGAGACGATTTTTGTGATGCTTCTACTTGTGCATATGTGGGGCGGGGGGGAGTTCGTGAGGTGTTGCTCATGTAGCTAGTTACTCCGTGCGGGTTTATTAGGGCCCCTCTTATTTTGTTCTAAAGCTTGACCATGAATTTAACTTATAAAATCTAAAATATATGCTACAAAAATTATAACAATACCTCTTTTGGACACAAATCCAACAATATATTTTCTGTAGCATATACTTTATTTTAGTTAAATAGGTCATCTAATTTTGACCCAAAATACGTGGGGACCCAAAATACGTGGGGACCCAATAAACTCGGACGAAGATAGTACCTAAATAGAAGGGTCTAAATCGAATATCATTTCTGAGCCCAGACTCATCTTCACCCGGTTAAGAGAAAATTTTAAAAAAATACTTAACAATTTTATTTTGCATGGAGGATATCCAAACAAAAATACTTAACAACTTTCCTTGTATGATTTGGTGCGTGAGGTCCGCTTCAAAATTCAGATCATTTGGACAAATGAATAGCTCTCATAAAAATGGATAAATTGGGTCAGAGCAGTAGATGAATAGTTAACTTTTCACATACCATAAATTTGTCTTTTGCCTAGAGCTACTCAGATATCCAAATGAGCTCAAGTTTGAAGTGGACCTCGCACACCTACGCATCTTTCATGCAACTTTTTTGGATTTCTTTTGCATTTTCTAATTTTTTTAATTTATTGTTCACCATAGGAACACAGTCGGTCTGAATCAACTATAAAGAATAATCAAAGTTATAAAACACTCTAAATATAATAAAAATCACATCGAGGTCCTTTCCTTCAACAACTTAGAAGCCCGTATCTCTATAACTCAATCTTAATTTTATGGTTTACTAAAAATCTTCTAGTACGTCGGCTTATGATTTATCTGTTTATAATAATGCGATTGTGTAAATAACTGATCATTAAATTCTTCCCATGAATTACCTTATATTTCGATCCGAAGTTTTGTAAGTAAATTTAAGTAAAATTGGTTCGAAAGGTAAGTAAATTAAATAGATTTATTATCATACAAGGAAAGTTGGACGAGGGGTGGTGTGAAGAAAGATACAAGGAAAGTTGGACGAGGGGTGATGTGAAGAAAGATGAAATAAAAACCTTACTTTTTTAAAAGTATATAGTAGAGATAGGGATATAGAAAATGCATCGTTCCAGATTTTACTCGTGTTATTACTGCGAATCCGCAGTTGGCAGGTGGGCGTGTCACGTAGCAAAAAGTTTCGTTTTTATTACAAAGTCCAAAGAGAGTACGTGTACGCGTCGGACAAACCGAAGGGGAGAGCAAGGCCACACGGCCCATGTCGGCCGAGCGAGCGGGCCCAGCCTCAGCGTCAGGTGGGTCGCCGCGCGGTAAGCGCACCGGGCATGTGGGCTGCCACTGCCACTGACAGTGCCAATAAAAGGCCGAGGCGGGCGCATCCCGAGGCCCCGAAACACCCGCTCCCTCTCGCTGCACGGCCACCACCCCACTCACACGCCGAGCGGCCGAGCCGTGCCCACCTCGCCCCCGTTTGACTCCGACGCGCACGCGCACGCATGGATGTGCGGCAGAGGCAGAGGAGGGCGCGGCCGCCGGCAGTGGGCCAGGCGGGGGCGCCCCGGGTGCTCCAGGCGGGGGACGCGCTGCCGCTGCCGATCCGGCACACGAACCTCATCTTCTCGGCGCTCTTCGCGGCCTCGCTCGCCTACCTGATGCGGCGGTGGCGCGAGAAGATCCGCTCCTCCACGCCGCTCCACGTCGTCGACCTCACCGAGATTCTCTCCATCTTCGGCCTCGTCGCCTCGCTCATCTACCTGCTCAGCTTCTTCGGCATCGCCTTCGTGCAGTCCATCGTCTCGTCCAGCGACGAGGACGTGGATTTCCTGGTCGGCCCTCCCGCCGCGCCGGCGCCGGCGCAATGCGGGCTTCTCGGGGGCTCCGACGCGGTGGTGCCAGAGAAAATGCCCGAGGAGGACGAGGAGATTGTGGCCTCCGTCGTCGCCGGGAAGGTGCCCTCCTACGTGCTGGAGACCAGGCTCGGCGACTGCCGGCGCGCCGCGGGGCTCCGGCGCGAGGCGATGCGGCGGATCACGGGGCGGCAGATCGAGGGGCTCCCGCTGGACGGCTTCGACTACGCGTCCATCCTCGGGCAGTGCTGCGAGCTGCCGGTGGGGTACGTCCAGCTCCCCGTGGGCATCGCCGGGCCGCTCCTGCTCGACGGCCAGCGGTTCTACGTACCCATGGCGACCACCGAGGGCTGCCTCGTCGCCAGCACCAACCGCGGCTGCAAGGCCATAGCCGAGTCAGGCGGCGCCACCAGCGTTGTGCTCCGGGACGCGATGACGCGCGCTCCCGTCGCCCGCTTCCCCACCGCGCGCCGCGCCGCCGAGCTCAAGGCCTTCTTGGAGGACCCCGCCAACTTCGATACGCTGTCCGTTGTCTTCAACAGGTACACCAACACTCATCAGTCATCACCAAGTACTATACGACGACGAACTTATGATGCAACATATGGCATTGTATTAACGCCCAGCTTGTGCTCGACGATACGTCTCTGAGGTTGAAGTCACGTGCCTAAATCAATATTAATTACTCTATATACTATTTAAGATTTGAATTTCTGGAATTCTGGTGCAGGATGATGGTACAAGTATTACTTGTCAAATATTTCTCCTTTGTAGGTCACAACGCGGTAACTAACTGTCTGGAAAATATGATATCCGAGCAGGTCGAGCAGATTTGGGAGGCTGCAGGGAGTGCAGTGCGCGATGGCCGGGAGGAACCTGTACATGAGATTCAGCTGCAGCACAGGGGATGCCATGGGGATGAACATGATCTCCAAGGGCGTGCAGAACGTGCTGGATTACCTCCAGGATGACTTCCCTGACATGGATGTCATTAGCATATCAGGTTTGCTTCCCTTTGCCACCACGAACTACTGTACTTCACTTGAGTCACCTAATCTTCTCTTCAGAATAAAATTCCTAGTCACAACCTTTATTTCCCAAGACAGACTATGGCTTACTGAAACAAAAAAACCTTCATATAATAAGCAGAGTGGCCATTTGATGATACACATAGTTAGGGCCCGTTTTCAGCAAGGATTAACAAGGATAAGTTGGCGCACTATTGAATTATCAGGTTGAGCTTATGGACAACATATGGTGAACATTGGCATGTTCAATCAAAATATACCATTTATAAAATGAAATTACCACTGAACCAACTTGGCATACCGTAAGATTGTTCAATTACATATGATACTTGCCATGATGCATTAGGAAGATTTTGAAAGGGCTTCTGGTAAGAAGATATATCTTTAATGCAAGATTCCTGATGAGTCAAAAATGATATTGACTTTAATAAGTATACCAACTTTGAGTATCTGGAACCACCTTTATTCTTTTAACTTCAAGCATGTAGAAGGTTCAGGACAAAGTGCGTAAGCTGCAAGAATAATTATGCAAGAATGAATATTTGAAGCCGGCACATCACTGGGCCCTTTTGTTTTTACACAAATTAACACCGATCCATCTGCTGTCATTTTGATAGTGGAACCCGATCCATGTTGTCTTGTATGGGGAAAGAACAGCCTAGTCATCTTTCATATCATATTTGGCTATATATTAATATACAGCGATATGATTAACATAATTGTGTGCATTGTATAAGTAAAAAAACAGATCTCTGTGTTTTCATATATTTTTCCAATCTGATTAGTATCTTTTGGTTATTGAAACCAGGTAACTTTTGTTCTGACAAGAAGCCAGCCGCTGTAAATTGGATCGAGGGGCGTGGCAAGTCTGTGGTTTGTGAGGCGGTAATCAAGGAGGAAATTGTGAAAAAGGTTCTGAAAACCAATGTGCAGTCTCTAGTAGAACTAAATGTGATCAAGAATCTTGCTGGCTCAGCTGTTGCTGGAGCTCTTGGGGGGTTCAATGCCCATGCAAGCAATATTGTAACAGCCATCTTCATAGCCACTGGCCAGGACCCTGCGCAAAATGTGGAAAGTTCTCAGTGCATCACAATGTTGGAAGCTGTAAATGATGGCAAAGATCTCCACATATCTGTCACTATGCCCTCTATTGAGGTATGCAACTGTATTGTTTTTATTTGTTCCGTTATCAGTATATCCAGGCATTGTGCTGACGATGATCATCAACTACAGTTTTTTTAGGTCCCACTATAATTTGATTTGTGAGAAATGCTCTGCACCTAACTTAGGGTCCCTAATGGGTTAATTAATACTTAATACGTCCACATCCTTATACATGTATTGTTGCTCGTTCGAATAAGTGCCCATCCCCATCGAGCACCTATTTATTAAAGAAAAGGTGGTGTATCAACTCTAACTGTATCTCCTCATATGGCCTAGTACTCTGGCTATATTATAGAACAGTGTTTTGTTATATACTTGAATAGTTCGTAACAGAAATTATACCCATCCCCGGGCTCAGATGCGGATTTTCGCTTGAATAGTTCGTAACAGAAAATATATTTTGGCTACATAAGATCCAACTATACTTCGTCAGCTCAATCAGCCGATTCATATCAGAGGAATCTTTCCAGTAGAAAAGGAATATTTTCTGATGCCTTGTTTTCCTACTTAGCTACTTGTTGTCTTGAGCAGGCTAATTGTCGATTACTTAGTCTTGTGCTTTGTGTTGCTAGGGTGAGACACATTTTTCCTATATATATCCGCTATTTGTTTGTTTGTTTGTTTCTGAGAACATGCTGAGCTGTGTTGGATGACTTGTTTGATAACATTTGAGAATATGACGAGTGGCCGACATGTTGTGATTGTTATTTACTGAAAATGCAGGTGGGCACAGTTGGTGGTGGGACTCAGTTGGCGTCACAGTCTGCATGCCTGGACCTGCTGGGCGTGAAAGGCGCCAACAGGGAATCGCCAGGATCGAACGCGAGGCTCCTGGCCACCGTGGTGGCAGGCGGGGTTCTCGCCGGCGAGTTGTCCCTCTTATCCGCTCTCGCCGCTGGCCAGCTCGTCAAGAGCCACATGAAGTACAACAGATCCAGCAGAGACATGTGCAAGGCGGCATCTCTAAGTTCTTGATTGACTCCACGAGCTGCAGCTCAAGAAACTTAATTCTGCATACAGGGTAATTGGGCCTTGTCCTCCTTAAGACGCAATTAAAGTGCTCATGAGCTTCAAGCCATCAACATCAAGCTAAGAAGAGTTTGACGGATTTCTTCCTCGATGCTGGCAGGTGTTTCTGGCGTCGTTCTTCGCGTGCTGCCGCTGCTGGCATCGTCGACGGACGGCCCCGGGCGGCACCGGAGAAGCTAACCTTTTTAGCCTGTTTGTGTTCGTAAGGCGTTGTGGTTAGTTGGGTTGGTTACCTTGGCGCGCAAGGTGTGAGGATCTTTTTGTAGCATCGAAGTGTAGAGATCTCTCTCCTTGCTTCAGGAAGCCAGCCTTGTAGTGGTATCTGTTTCACCTTTTGATTGGTCCTTTTTCCTGTTTGCTAGTCGAACAATGTCGAAAGTTGGTGACGTGATTGTAGAAAGAGATGTGGGTCTCGTCGGAGTTCTCCAGAGCATGGTGGCGGCTCCGTCCATCCATTGTCGTGTCAGCGGAGCGTCGTGACCTTTCTGTAGATCTGCCTAATATCTATCCAGATCAGATGCATGTGTCAGCAGATGTTCAAGTGTCGCCCTCACGTGCCTGTCCCGGGTAGGTTTGTTGCATGAACCGATGGACATCTTGGAAGTAGCAATCTTGATCTCAGTACTGATCTGGATCTGCGATTTGTATTGGCACCTCTGAGGGAGTAGTAATCTGGTGCCTGTGTTTGATGGGCATGTGGATGCACGTTCTGGCGATCGGATCCGGCACGGCACATGGACCTGAGATCGCGCTGTCTTTCATACGAGAGTTCTGTGTGCCCGGCCTAAGTGCATCAACACCCTGGCTCCCCAAACCCTTCATATAGCCTGGACGGACGGCTTGGTCGCTGACCGGTAAAAAGAAACTGATCTAGACGGGCTCCTCGTTACGGTCCCATACGGCGTGACTGACCGGCATCCTCATATCCAGTCTAAATTTGAGGTGCGCCCAGGAGCGTTCGCTATGTCGGACTGATTGCAGGGTCCGAGACAAAAACACTAGGAAAACCATTGGTCCAACGGGCGTCTCCTTTGAGGATGTGGACGCATTCATGCCGCCGCGAGGTGCTGCTCCGGCTCGCCGCACGAGGGCCAAGTTCCGGCTATTTAAGCCGGACGGCGACCCTAGCCCTAGCCGCATCCATTTTCCTCCCTCTCCGCGTCACCAGCCTTAGCCACATCCACTTTCCTCCCTCTCCGCTCGCCCTCGGCCGATAGCCATGGCCCGGCAAAGGGTGATGACCTAGGCCATAGTCAACACCGGAGTGGCGCTCCAACTACTCGAGGAAATCCGGGCTAGGGGCGAAGCTCGGATCGCAACCAACCTGCCTCGAGACTCATCGAAACCAGGAAGGAGGAGGCGGAGCAGAACATGCCATGGATGAGGAGGAGCCGTCTACAGACTTCACCATGGAGGACTCCATGGCGGAGTTCAAGGTGTCCTAAGCGAAAGGGGCGGAGAAGTAAGCGGCCATTCTCGACTGCATCCAGTCAGAGGCCAAGGTGGAGGGCAACCGCCGCTTCCCCCGCTAACGAAGGGCGCAGATTGACAAAGTCTTCGCCGAGATGGAGTTCAATGATGAGTCAGAGTTGCCGCAGGTAGCCATCTATCCGGAGCCCGGCACGAAGATCGTCAACATCTCCGACGACAAGTAGTGTAGGTAGATCGCATATCTACATAGTACTTAGATTTTATTTTGCATGGTTTGTATGGTTTAAGATATCAACTTTGAGGTAGTTGGATGCAGCGGACGAAATATGAGGGGTGACTGGACGCGTCTATAAACATACAAGGGTCGAATTTGCTAAGGCCCCGTTCGCTACAAGGGATTTCTATATATAGGAGTTTCACAGGAAAGCTATTCCTTTGGAATATATCCCTTTGCTTGTGTTCGGGACACAGGAACCATGAACAGTCTTCCAGAGGGAAACTTCCGTTCCAACGCTGATTCCAAAGAATTAGAAAAATCCACCCCAGCCTCATTTTTTGATGGATGCCCGAGGCAAGGCTCAAGCTGCCATCGCTGATTGTAGTACGAATGTGAATAAAATATTCAACCTAAGAGGATAGGTGACGACGCAATAGTGTGTGGCCAAATAAAATAGTCTACTGTGTTTGTTAACACTGGACGATTTCCTGTATGCTTTCTACCTTTGTCCCGAACACTACTTCATAGACTTGTCCTCTATTTTTTCAATCCTATGTTCTGCATCAACTTTTCTTTTTCATTCATCTGTTTCTCTAGGTTCCTTTGTTTTGCAAACATATGATCCGAACAGGCCCTAAGAGCGACTTCAATGAAGCGACCCATTTTGTCCGCGGCCATCCGTTTGGGTCGGTGCGGACAGAAAAGGCGGCTCAACGCGCCGACCCAAACGGACGTGCGTCCGTTTTTCGTCCGCGGGCGACTCATTTTCGGCCCATTTTTAAGCCTGATTTGCGTTGGCGTGCACACGCGATGGACGCGCGCGCGCTCGCCTACTCCTGTCCCCGGACCCGCTCGTCTGTGGCACATTGGCCTTCCCTCCCCTCAGCCAACAAGCAACCCTCGCCCCCCGCCTCCTCTGTCACCGCAGCCGCCGCCCATTTTGCCGGCGACTCTTCCAGCTGTCGTCGCCTCCACATCCGCCCAGCAACGCCGCCCCTGCCCCCAGTCGCCCGCCGCCGCCGTTTTGCCGCCGGGGAGCAAGCTGGTTCCCGCCGCCGCTTCCCCCACCGCCCAGCCTCCCGCGACCAAGAAGACGCCTCGCCGCCCCCGCCAAATACGACTAGCACGCCCGTTGGACGCCATCACACTCGCCGGACGCCGGCCGGGCAGCTAGCTGGTCTGTGGGCGCCGCGTCTCCCCTCGCCGGCCGTCTCCTTCCTCGACGCCCGCAAGCTGTTCGACAGTTTGCCAAGGTACGAAAATGGACTCCGCCGATGAGTTCTTTTTCCACAATTTCCTTTGCGACTCCGACGATTCGTCGTCTGACGACGACGAGGAGATATTGGCTGCCATGTCGGTCCATCACCACCTCAACAACCAGCGGCCGTTGTTCCGTGGCTCCATTCCGGGCCACCTTCCGGCGTTGAATCGTAACCGGGAGAGCGGGCATTTCCTTCTCTAGAAGGACTACTTTGATACAACAAACCCGTTGTTCAAACATCACAAATTCCGCCGCCGGTTCCGTATGAGTAGGCATGTTTTCAACTGTATTAGAGAGGGAGTGGTTGGCTATGATGACTACTTCGAGTGCAGAGAGGATGCCGTTGGCAAGATTGGTTTCTCATCTTATCAGAAATGCACTGCCGTCATCTGAATGCTTGCATACGGGGTGCCCGGTGATCTCATTGACGAGTACGTCCGTATGAGCGAGTCTGCATGCCTAGAGTTCCTGTATAAGTTCTGCAAGGTTGTGATTGCTGTGTTTGGCCCTGAGTACTTGAGAGAGCCGACAGCTGAAGATACAACCCATTTGTTGGCGATGAATGCTAGCAGGGGCTTCCCGGGGATGCTTGGCAGCATAGACTGCATGCACTGGGAGTGGAAGAACTGCCCTTCTGCTTGGCAAAGGCAGTATAAGGGACATGTGAGGGCTTGCACTGTCATACTAGAGGTCGTGGCGTCTCAAGATCTCTGGATCCGGCACTCTTTCTTTGGCATGACTGGATCACACAATGATATCAACGTGCTTCAGCGCTCGCTGGTGTTTGCTAGGCTTGCCGAAGGCAACAACCCACCGGTGAACTTTACTGTCAACGGCCACAACTACGACAAAGGGTACTATTTGGGTGATGGTATCTATCCTCAGTGGACCACTATTGTAAAGACAATACCCAACCCTGTCGGAGAGAAAATGAAAAGATTTGCCCAAGAGCAAGAGAGTGCTAGAAAGGATGTCGAGCGTGCCTTTGATGTTTTGCAATCTCGATGGGGCATCGTTCGGTATCCTGCTAATACTTGGAGCACGCAGAAACTATGTGAGGTGATGATTGCTTGTGTGATCATGCATAATATGATCGTAGAAGACGAGCGCCCGAAACGTCTGTACGATCAAGGCTTTCAGTTTCAGGATGAGAATGTTGTGCCTGAGCATGAAGTAGCGGCAACATTTGAGCAGTTCACTCAGTTTCATGAAGACATGCGTGATTGGGAAACTCACATACAACTGCAAAATGATTTGGTTGAGCATATGTGAACACATGTTGGTAACCAATAGATGTATCTTTTTTTATTCGTTTGCAAAACTATGTGAAACATTTTTATTTTTATTTGGCCTGTAAACTATACTATTTATTTGGGCGGATAATTTTATTTGTTAAATTTTCATTTCACAATATGTTGAATGCAATGTAAAATTGGGCGGCCAGCCGGCCACACCTGCACATATGGGGCGGCGCGTTAGGCGTGCTGCCGATCCATATGAAAAACAGGGCGGACGCCGGGCAGGCGGCCGACCCAAACGGATAAAAAACAGACGAAATCGCTGTACGTTTGGGTCGGTCCGTTGGAGTTGCTCTAAATTTCGGTTGTAGATGCAATAAGGAGGACCTTGTGGATCACAGCTGCGTGCGTGCTGCCGCCCAAAGATCCTCATGTTTTGAGAATTGGGATGCTGGCCCCCTGTTGCTCGCATCGTTGCGTGCCCATTGGCAAGATGCATACAAGTGCAGACAGCGTGGTTGGTGCACGTGACGCATGCCTCGCATGAGTGGCTCACGTTGCTGCAACGGTCTCGGCCTCGCCCGTGGTCCTGCGACGGATTAGGCGTCCGGGCCCGCGAGGGCCCAAGGACATGAGCACCGGGGTCCGGAGGCATGAACCACGGGTGACCTTGCCGTTGATGGCCGTTGACAATGGGTCCTCCAACTGTCCAACTCCAACAGAGCATTCCGTTGAGTTTGATGTCGCCAGGCCGGTAGAATTTTTTCAAGCCTCTGTCGAAGCCTCAAAGGGGTGTAGA